CCTTGTCAAAGATCAGTTGACCATAGATAGATGGGTTGATCTCTGGATTCTCAATTCGATTCCATTGATCTATGTGTCTGTCATTGTACCAGTACCATGCAAGACTATGACTTTTATGGTCTGTATATTGGATCTCAGTAATTATTTCAGAACTTTATAGACATAATAAATGTAGGCCCTAAAATGTAATGACAATTCTGTACACAGGGGTTTGTTGTTTGTTTGTTTTTTTAAAGGATTTATCTCTAAAATTTATTTAAAACTCTAACCTCTCAATAAGAAAAAAATCAAACAATTCAATAAAAAGTGGGCAGAAGCAGACCTTTCACCACAGAGAACAGTCAGATGGCCAACAGACATACAAAGAAATGCTCCAGATCGCTAACTTTCACAGTTATGTGCCATCGAGTCACTCTTGACTCAAAGGAGTTATTTAGATAACAGAAATCACGTTTCTTTTCCTTCTCAGATTACGAAACAATTTCAAAATTGTCATAGACCTCAAAAATAAACTCAAAGACTTTTAGTTTCAGGGCTTATAAGCAATTTCAATGATTCTAAAAGTTGACAATTTACTCATTATTTTAAAATCTCTGAACTTGAGATGTTTATGTTGTTGTATGCAGTCAAAACAGCCCTGGAATATGGTTGAGAAATGATTTATAACTGATAGTCCACCACAGTTTAACTATCAGAGCTTTTTCATCTTTATAATTTCAAAGAGTATGGTTCAATTGCTATGTTTCATTTTTATAGCTTCAAATAATGTGTTTCAATAAATAAATAATGGGTGAGATGCAAATTTTGAGGTATGTTTTTTTTAAAAAAGACTCATAAATAACTAACAAGACCAGAAGTTCAAAACAAAAAGGGCTAACCATCACTGATCTGAAAAACTTGCTATAAAGAACATGTTACGTAAGAGATTTGTTTAAGGGCTACTCAGATAAAAAAACACCCAAGTTTTGAGCTAATCAAACTGAGCTTAGATTTAAACTCTGCTTTTACCCAAAGAAATTTCAACTCCCTCAATTGAGTCAAACTATTTATTCCTCGTGTATTAAATGAAATATGGAATCTACCGACTCAACGGCACACCACCACCACCACCACCACCACAACAACCCAGAATTCCTGAGAAAGTAAATGAAAGTTATGTATAAGGGCACACATTGTAAAAAGATTAATTATCAAGCTCTGCTTTCTTTGTTCAGACTGCTTTGGGGTAGACTCATGACTAATGAAAAACTTGATCTTAAGCAATAAGAAATAAAACAACTGCCTTGAATTGAGGCTTTGTATAGATTAAAGCCATATAGCACAGCTCCCTTACCATTCCCCAAATTCTACTCAAATACATAAGAAAACTGATCCTCTATCAATCAAACAACCCTGTCAGAAATACAGTCTCTGAACATAAAAATAAAAGCAAATCAGCGTGATATTAATTTCTAATTCAATAACCTTCAATTTGTGGCAAGTTCATTCCAAAGAAATTACATAGAAAAAAACTTCTAAAATCCTTACCCAAAACACTGAAAAACCCCTGAAATCTTGGTAACTGGTCTCTACATTAAAAATTACAATGAGCAAAGGAGAAAAAGACCCTCAATAAGATTGACAGACAGTTACTGTATCAGTGGACTTAAGTATAACAGAGATTATGAGGTTGATACAGAAGACAGAAAATTTCAAATCTATTGTTTATAGGGCTGCTATAAGTATAGTCAACAGCATGGCACCTAACAACAAAATCAAAAGAAAGTTTTCTTTTTTCTCTAGTGTATCTTTTTTTCTATACAAGTTACTTTTCCTTATAAAGGGACATCTATATTTCATGAGTTCCTTCTTTTTCAATGCAGTATTCCATTGTGTGAATATATCACAGCTTCTCTCTCCATTCTTTTGTTGATGGGTACTTGGGTTGTTTCCATCTCTTCGCTATTGTGAACAATACAGCAATAAACATGAGTATGCATATAAAAAAATTACAAGTAAATTCTAAATTATTACTTTAAATCTTTTTTAATTAAGAGTTTAATCATATTATTACCTTGTAAAATGCCTGCCGTTAGAAAGTTTGTCCATTATTTCCATATTCTTATCAAAACTAGAATCTGAAGAAGTCTGTGCATTTTTTCTCAAAGACCTTAAAGCACGCGTATGGTGGTAGGCTTCAACTTCCTTAACCGAAGATCCATCCTTCAAGAAAAATTAAGAAAACCATTTAAGTTATTTTCCCCCTCAAAGTCAAAACCCACAAACTCAATTCCTTCAAAAATTGTTCTCTAGTTACAAATTTGAAAAATTGCTTCCGTGAAACATTCTGCAACTTCCCCAATAAATCATACAATTACTCAGAATACTCATTTTATAATAAATCTAGTAGAGTCTATGAAATGACTTAACATGTACTGATGGTTTACAGTTCTGGTTCAAGAATTATTGTTGTTTACCATCAAGTCAGAAAAGACCCACAGTTGGACCCTCTGGTGGGTTTCATGAATAGTAGGACAGAAAGTGAACTTTTTTATTCTTGAAAAAATGTATTAAGGCTCTCAAAGTCAGAAATACATTTAAAACAAAAAAAAGACGTATTTGGTATAGAACATTGTTTGCCACCCAGGCACTGGCAGCAGTCTTAGAATAACTGGGTCATCAGAATTTCAATTTTGGGCTGGCTAAAATAAGAGTTATCAGCTTGCTGTTTGATCCAGTTTCACTCAGATAATACATCTGAATTCAGAGACAATTTGAACATATTAATCTGTGCTCTCTTTAAGTTTTATCATTAAAGCAACCATTTGTCAGGTTACAACCCCCCCCCAAAAAACCCAAAACCAACCTAAAATAAAACCCCAAGACCAAAAACAAACACAAAACCAAAAAATGCCACCACACAAAGCAGGCCCTTCTGCTGTATGGTGTAATAGAGTAAC